CGGCTCGGTTTGCGTTTCCACTGCAGTTCAGTACCGCTTTAGAGTGGGCGGGAATATTCACATGTCGTTATAGTTGCGCCGTCTCTACTACCACGACTCTTTTTCATTCCGCGTCGCCCCATCAAGCTCTCGCTGGATCCACTCCTCTGCTATCAACGAGAGGAACGTCTGTTCTTCCGCAACAGACAACAAAACTTTTTGGTTGTTAAAAAAAAGGTGCGCTCGTTCAAAACAGTTGCGTTCGATCCTTCGCTGGCTGTGCTGATTTAAATCTAGCGGTTCTGTTGTGTTTGTGTCGCAAGTTCAGTGACGCAGGTAGTGACGATTCTCTCCGGCCAATCCGTGATCAGCAGAGTTTACACGTCACGTTTTGGTAACGGTACGGTTCACTTGGAACCCCAACCGAGGTGGTACTAAAAAAAGTACCAGGTACCAGGTACTGTACCCAGTGGAAAACCCCCCAAAAGTGAACCGTACCGAGCCGCACCGTGCCGTACCATGCAGTGGAAAAGCGCCATAAGAGTCCTCAAGAACCCAACCTAAGCTTGTGACAGACTTCGGCCTAGTCTTTCCACTTCAAAATCCTCTGACTCAAACTGGTTCTTTTTCATCAACCAACTTCCAGTGGATCTTAATATTTATAATTAATTATTACTAGTTATAATTAATTATTCATATTTCCCCTTTGAGCTGATTCGGTACACCTTCAACTCAATCTTACCAAGACAGAACTGCTTGTAGTTCCAGCAAACCCATCGTTTCATCACAATTTCACCATCCAGTTAGGCACATCAACCATAACTCCTTCAAAAACACTTGGCAGGTCTTCCAGCCAGTTCTATCAAACCTCTACAATTAATCCAGAACGCGGCAGCAAGATTAATTTTTAATGAGCCAAAAAGAATACACGTCAGACCTCTGTTCATCAATCTGCACTGGCTACCAGTAGCTGCTCGCATAAAATTCAAGGCATTAATATTTGCCTACAAAACCACCATTGGCTCTGCACCCCTTTACCTAAATTCATTACTTCAGAGTTATGTTCCTCTAGAAGCTTGCGTTCTGCAAGTGAACGACGCTTTATTGTGCCATCCCAAAGAAGCACAAAATCACTTTCACAGACCTTTACATTAACTGTTCCCTCCTGGTGGAATGACCTGCCCAACTCAATCCCAGCAGCTGAGTCCTTAACCATCTTCAAGAAACGACTAAAACGCATCACTTTCTATTCTATTTTAATTCTACTTTATCTATTTATATTTTTTTTATTAAAAAAAAAACTATCACTAGCTTTCTATTTTTCATTTCCTTTCTATTAATGTTTTTCTTTTTGTGTGTGTGTGTGTGTATATATATATATTCCTTTGTAAGTTGCTTTTGGATAAAAGCGTCTGCTAAATGACTAAATGTAAATGTAAATATTAATACTGTTATTATTGTCCACAATTCTATTATATTAATATTTTTAGTATTACTGTGATTATAATAGTAATAATAATTATTATTATTTATATCAGTATGTATATTAATATCCACATTAGCATTTTTGTTGTTGTTTATTTAATAATAATAATAATTATTATTATTATTGTAATTAATGTAATTACTTGGTTTTGATACTTTTATTTGAACCAATTATAATTGCATCATCATTAGTTTATATATAAATGTAGTCATACTAAAGCCTGTTTTTCACTCTGGTCTATTTTTACTACTGAAAAATATCAGATTACTCAGATTATCAGTAGATTACTTGATTACCAAAATAATTGTTAGTTACGGTCCTAGATTAGTTAAAACATTTCGAAATACAACTGCATTGTTTTGCATTTTGTGATTAAAAGACATTTTTTATAATTAAAAATGTAAAAAAATAAATAGTATTAAATTATTGTCTCGTAGTGAACCAAGTATCTGTATTTTGTCTCATCTCAGGAGCTAAGTGTGTTGTCACACACCCTAGTGTCGATAAGCGGTGATATAGCTCATGATTTTCCAAGTGTATGATATAGCTTTCATTCTTCAGGTCAATCATAAAAAAAATCAGTTTGTATAAGCAAAGTATAACTTTGCCATAGTATTCTTTTAAATTTTAAAGGTGCCACAGTCATTGCATGCTTTGCTTGTGCTGCACTTTATTTGTACCATTTTGTTTTATAAGATTATTTATAAGAATTTGAAAGATAATAACAATATTGTTTGATAAGATCTCTGATTTTAGCCATTGAAAACCAAAAAAAAAAATAGTGCTTAAAGTCGTTGAAAGATCTGGGCCCTCATTTATCAACAGTGCGTAGAAAAGGTTCTATATTTTATCCTACAAATGAAATTTAGAATGTGCCCAAGTACAAGAAAATCCGTATTTATAAAATGTGCGCACGCAGTTCTTACGCACATGAGTAAGCAATCATTGTTGATAAATCCCACATGTGCGTAAGTAACATGCTCGTTCACGTTCATTTGCATTCGGAAACGCCTCCAATGAACCATATATGGTGACAACACCTCCCTTTATAAATCCTAACCAGTCAGGTTTCAGGAGTGGCCATTCAACTGAGACTGCGCTACTGTCAGTCACGGAAGCCTTGCGGATTGAAAAAGCTGATTCCAAATCATCAGTTCTTATTCTGCTCGATCTTTCTGCTGCTTTTGACACTGTCAATCATCAGATCCTCCTTTCTGCCCTCTCTTCAATGGGCATCACAGGGATTCCACTTCGCTGGTTTGAATCCTATCTCACTGGTAGGTCTTTCAGGGTGGCTTGGGGAGGGGAGGTATCCAAAGCACATCAACTTGTCACTGGGGTTCCTCAGGGATCAGTTCTTGGACCCCTCCTCTTCTCCATATACACAACATCACTGGGTCCCATCATACAGGCACATGGCTTCTCCTACCATTGCTATGCTGATGACACACAGCTCTATCTTTCATTTCAACCAGATGATCCAACGGTAGCTGCACGGATCTCAGGCTGCCTGGCGGACATCTCGGCATGGATGAAAGAATATCACCTACAGCTCAACCTGGCAAAGACTGAGCTTCTTGTCTTCCCTGCCACTCCAACTCTACAGTATGATTTCTCCATCCAGCTAGGTTCTTCTACAATTACCCCATCAACTTCGGTCAGAAATCTTGGTGTAACTTTTGATAACCAGCTGACCTTCAAAGACCACATTGCAAAGACCGCTCGATCTTGCAGGTTTGCATTGCACAACATCAGAAAGATCAGGCCCTTTCTAACGGAGCATGCTGCACAACTTCTTGTCCAGGCCCTTGTCATCTCTAGGCTGGACTACTGCAATGCTCTTCTGGCTGGACTTCCATCAAGCACAATCAAACCTCTACAAATGATTCAGAATGCAGCGGTACGACTGGTCTTCAACGAGCCCAAAAGAGCCCATGTTACACCTCTCTTTATCTCCTTGCACTGGCTACCGGTTGCGGCTCGAATCAAGTTCAAGACATTGATGCTTGCATATAGAACAACCACAGAATCAGCACACGCCTACTTCCACTCACTACTACGAATCTACATACCCTCCAGAAGTCTGAGATCCGCTAGTGAGCAACACCTCGTGGTACCATCACAGAGAG